ATGGTCCTTATAATTTCTATACTTTCAAGTGATTATGTTTTTCTTACATCAACTATAGAGATAGTATATTCCATGCTAATTTGCTATGTGAACACAAAGAATAGGTAAGCAATAACTTGCATATTATTTGCATTATACTACATGCTCTGTGAAGAACAAAGGAATAAATGTACCTACAAGATCACCTGCCCAAATTCCAGCTTCATCACCACCCGTACCGGCCCTCACTGTGAAAGAAATAATTACATAGTGTATTTTTATTTGTCTAAACGAATCACTTCATCACAATCACTAAAATCACAGCACATGTGAGAGCCTTGGTTGACCTAGGAAATACAGAGGTGCAGATGTTAACAACTGAGCCATTCCACTTCAGGCAATTCTTAATTTTTTGATCACAAAATACAAATGTGGAGTATATGCTATTTCAACAGGAGAGAAAAAATGTAACAAAAACTGGCATACTATATGATCCAATGTTTGAAAAGACGGAACGCAAACCCACCTCAAGCCGCGCAATGAAACTTTTTCCTGAAAATAACGCCTTGGTGCGAATCCCGATTCACGCAATTTGCTTAAAGGCTTACGCCATGGGGCGTACGCACTGGTGCGCGCAATGAGGCATACACAATAAAACTTATGGTCCTACTAATGCACGTACGACTATATAATTATTCATAAAACTCTGTCTGACTAGCTTTCACAATAACAAAAATTCATATTATCCAAAAACTAACTGATTTCTTCTACGGACCAGTTTCAGCGACAGTCTATGCCCATTTTATTCATTGAGCTATATCTAGTAGTATCATTTTCTGCATTTGGTGACTATAAAGTGCATGCCTAAAAAAATTCTTCATCTCATGCAAGCAATCAGATTGCATACTACATCCAAAATAAATAGAGGTTAAATTACCTTCAAGCATTATATTTCTTGAATCAAGAGGATCTGTAGGAATGAGAAGTACCTACCAAGTTCAAAGAGAAGAAGTTCCAAAACTTAAATAGTAGTCCACAAACTGAAGTCATGAGAGCTATGCCAGGAATACACGGAATGAAAAATGAATTGTTCCTAAGCTACAGATCTTGTTTACCTTAAGCTTCTCCTCAAGCTCATTTAGTTGTTTAGTTAAAGCCTCAAGTTCTGATGCTATCATATTAGCCATGTCTTCATTGTCATCTTCTTCCTTTGCCATAGCTGACATTGAACTTAAATATTGGTCATGTCTTCATAAATATTTTTGAAATGAGGCAATGACTCTCTCTACCTTCTATTGAAATGAGTAATGTCTACATACACCCACCCTAGACCCTACTTATGAAATATAACTAGGGGTTGTTGTAATGAAGCAATAAGCAGTAGAGATTGAGTGTATGAACTAGGAAGGAATGTGTTTAACTCCACAATATATGGTATGAATAGTAACTCAACCTTTTGTTTCTTCTATTTGTTTTTCACAATCCTTGAAACTTGTGTATGTCGAGACAACCTAACAGCAAAGTGGCGTCAACATAATATGTTGATCAGGAATCATTCATAGATATTAAGAAATTGATCAGAAATAAAGCGCAGCACCTCGTCAAGCTCTGATACTGACTGAGCCAACTTCTGATATTCATTTGGATTTGAGACAACCTCAGGATCAGCCAACTTAACCTACAACGGGTATGCAATATTGAGCTGTAAACATAATTCAACTACAAGTTTTCAACAGTTTCAGATACAGTGAAATGCAATTGCAAAGTTTGATTGTAACTTACAAGTTAGTACAACTAAACCTATAACTTTTCCAAGTCTCACCAATGAATCAATTTGAAAAGAAGCTTACCGACAGTTCTTTCCATGTCTTCTCAGCAGATTCCAGTTTCGAAATCAAATAAGGTTCCTTCATCACAAACAACATTAAAACCATTGATTACAGCAGACAAACCATTAAAAGGCACGCCAAACAGGAAAACATGCTACAAATATAAAGCAAACACGCAATTGCTCAATTTCTCCCTATTAAGCTTAATAAATTTAAAAAAAAATCGGTGCATTCGGACAGACCGCCATGCAGACTATTCTTCTAGACTGAACTTGGTTGTGCGAGAGTCCGACGGAAGATGGCCAACCACAGCTGAAGCGGTGGCGTGCTGGGAACTGTATCAAACATGCGGCGGAGATTCTGGAAGAGAGGCTAGTTGGGAGACCATTCATGCTTAAATTTCCGGCGAGGCTGGACGGCAAATCCGCGAGTCAGGTGAAAAATGGAAACTGGAGTACAAATTAGAGGATCCGTCGGCTGAGTTTCTTCGCCGGAGCAGGGGCGGTGGATCGGGAAATGAGAGATTTCTGGGGCAACGCCGGGCGCCGGATTGCCAGTCGATTGATGAGACGGATCAGGACACGTGTAACTAGATGACGTGAGATGCGGTTGCAGGATTGGATTGATTGGGCTTTTCACCCGGTCTGGCTGTTGATTTAGACTCTATGATCTCGGTCCTCGGACCACATTGATTCTTGGGCTCCAATCCAATTTACGGAGCCTTTTTTCTTATCTTTTTTTAGACCGTTCGTATGATATTTTTAAACTGAACAAATTATTAGTCATGATGATCGTGAAATATACAAATTTGCTATTTCAATTTTTAAAGTTTTACATTTTTATTTTTAAAAATTAAATTTCTCTCAAAGTGAGATACAAGAATTACAAAGCAGTACTCTGTTCACCTTAAAATTATCTTCTCATTTTGACTTTTCACGGTATCTAATTTAATATTTTGATTTTTAATATGTCTATTTCTATATAAATATATATTATAAAATAATATATTTTGAAATTATGTTTCAAGATGGATCTAATTGATAACAGATTTATATAAAGTTCAATGTATTTTTTCTTTAATATACAAACAAAGTTTAAGAAGTTTGTTCTTAAAAATCAAACTGGGGAATTAATTTTAGAACGGAAAGAGTGTATATTTTGTACAATTTATGTTCGCGGCTCTAGTAAATACGGAGTATATAACTGGGCCCCCAATAAAATTGGGTCATGTACCTATGACCACCTTGCCCCTTGTATTAGCGGGCCCTACTAATTAAGGTGGTTTAGCTAGCGTGTCCTTCAAAGTCTCGGACAGTTTTGGTGGGCACTCTTTTCGTGAAGATTCTTCCCAAAGTTGATTTACCAAATATGAATAATCACTTTCTCTTGAATAACTTATCGGTCGTTTTTCTTTTATGCCCATTGCGACATTTTAAGCATTTTCATATTGACTGATCAGCGACCGATCAATTTACTTCTAACGAGTTAGCTCTCGATTAGTCAGGATATGGATTATATTATACCCACCAATAATGTTCACAAATTATAAACTCTAAACTTTTGTTCTTTCTCGATTCGTCAATTCCATTCTCGTCTCAATCCTTCTTCTCTTTCCTCGTCTCATATTTTCAAGAGTTCAAAGACGCTATGAGTCTTCTCTATCCGATCCGAGTTTGTATTAATAGATCAAATAAATTATTTGAATATAATCTAAACGCAAAGTATTTATAATAAGATAATCAAACCAAGTAATGTTATACTCCGAACATTATACTGTATATTTTCCTATTTTATGACTTTCTTGATTCAATGATTTCAATTCATGTTTGAAATGAGATTTTTTTTTATATTTTTATCATTTCACATCAACTTAATAAAACTCGCTATGCTTCTCCTAAATCTGGTAGTGTTCTTAATCTCATCCACCAAAATGTACCTTAATTTACTTTGTACTTTGAAACGGTCAGTCACTAATATAACTAAAACAACAATCATAACTAATTAGAGATCAAAATAAAGTATATGACTATATAAATGTAATTACTTTGTACTCCATATGTCGAAAAAATATAAAATTCTCATTTTTGTTTTTTGGTTTTTTTCAAAACAAACATATCATTCTTCTAAGTAATAAAGGACAATAACTTCATGTCATACATTAGATTAAGCATTTATTTTAAACTAATGATTTCCACAAAACAAAAAGTGAGACAATATGGTAAGTCGGTGACTGGACAATGCCGAAGGAACAGCTCGCATACAAAACGGACTGTACGGACAAGTCTTGTTGGGCTCTAGTAGCGAGGCGCGCGCGAGAGAGAGAGAGAGAAAGAAACTCTCAATTGTACTGTCGCACGCCGTATATACACACACATACGCAGTACGTGTATGTATAGACTGATCTATACGTACATATATACACATAGGGGTATGATGAACGAACAGCAGTGTATGTTTGACGACGCCTAACTTTAACTCCCCCAATTCGATCCCTTTTATTTTTTTTTTGTCTCCTTTCGATTCCGCCGCGGTTTGGTTCCCCCGAAGAAGCTGCTCCAACAGCAACCGCAGAGAAAACCTAGAAATAGTCCATGGTGATGTACGGACGAGCCCATATCAGAAACGGGTCGCATCCGGACACGGGCTCTAAATGGGCTCCCTCCGGGCCCGACCCGGATCTTGAAGGTGGGGGCTCAAACACATTGCAGTTTTGTTTTCCGGCCGAAGTTTCTTTTCTTTTTTTCCTAATGGGTTTTGTGACATTGCAGAATCAATGCAGAGGCTGGGGTTATGGGGCGGCGGCGAGCGGTACCCGGAAAGGCCCGGGGCCACCCTCTGCGCCTACTACATGCGGACCGGACTCTGCGGGTACGGTGCCAAGTGTCGGTTCAATCATCCTCATGATCGTGGCTCGGTATGACCTTTGATCCTCAACCCCCTCCACCCATGTTGGCATACAGTTGTTGTCGTTTGCATTTGAATGTCAGTGTTAATTGTTTAAAAGCCCTGATTTGTGACAATTTTCCTTGAAACATCTAGGATGTTTGGTGTAAATCTTAGGTTTTGTCGCGATAGGAAGCTGTGATTGTTGTGTTGTCTGTCGGCTGTCTCGTTTTTTTCTCTCGTAAATCTGAGTGAGTTCTTGCTTATATTGATCTTTGAGTTGTTCTGATTCGAAGGTTGGGGCAGCGCAATTTGGAGTAGGGGTATATCCCGAGCGACCGGGAGAGCTTACTTGCCAGGTGATGTGTTTGGTTTGATGCTTATAGAGTTATAGTTTCACTCGATGATTTTATTGATTGCAAGTTTTGTTACATGTAGTTCTATTTAAGAACCGGAACCTGTAAATTTGGGGCCTCCTGCAAGTTCCATCACCCAAGAAATGCTGCTGGATCCTTGATTCGTGTCCCGCTTAATACTAGTGGATACCCGTTACGACCGGTAAACGATTTCTTTAGTTTCTAACAAGTTTGTGTCCTGTTTGATGTTAGTTGGTTTTGGTGGGAGAGTTTGATCTCTTTGACCCTTTTGTGGAATTATGGCAGGAGGAAAAAGAATGCTCCTACTATTTGAGAATGGGGCACTGCAAATACGGTTTAACATGTAAATACCATCACCCTCAACCTGGTTTATCACCAGGACCGCCATCAACTGCACGCCCATTTTATCCGACCGTGCAGTCTCTTCCCGGACTTCCCACAGAACAGTACGGTGGCACAACTGCTAACTTTCGGGCCACAAGGCCTCCATTATTACCCGCTTCATATTTGCACAATGGTTATGCTCCTGTACTGCTTCATGGCATGGTCCCTGTTCCAAATTGGAGTTATTCGGTAATTTATAATATCCCTCCTGTTTGTTTGTTTGTTTATCAGTGTCGGTAATGGTGGAAACATCTTCTCTCACTCTTTGTTTATTCAAAGAGAAATAGAAAGGAAATGAAAAACATAGAAAAAGGGAGAAAAAGGCAAGAAACCATTTTGGAGTTTCAACAATGGGTCTCACCTACTTTTTTTTGCAATTTCTTCTTTAGTGAGAAGATGTGTGGGAGAGAGAACTTTGTTCCCTTATGTCTGCTTGTATATCAACTCATTTGACATCACAATATAATGTATGTTGTGGGTGTTTTGGGCTTTTTTTCCCAAGTTACACCTTTATTTCCTTCCTTTTTCTTGTGGGATTCAACTGGGTTGTTGTTGTTGTTGTTGTTTCTCTCATAGAAAACATTACATTAAGATCCACCCTTTTTCTCATCTCTTTCTTTCTTGTTACATCCTTTTGTCTTGTTTTTTTGTCTCCTTAACCCAGGAAAGCCTAAGTGTTGCTAAATTTACTTGATGCAGGGACCAGTTAGCCCTTCTCTTTCTACTGGAGCTCAACCTTCTAACGGGCTAGCATCTGTTTACGGGATATCACAGATGGTTTCTTCTCCAACTGCCTTTCCAGCACCTTATTCTCCTTTGCAGGCGGCATCCGCTGGTCTGTCAAGAAGTGCTCAGAACGAAAAGCGTTTTCCTGAAAGGCCGGGCCAACCTGAGTGTCAGCACTATATGAAAACTGGGAATTGTAAATTTGGGCCAATGTGTAGGTATCACCACCCTCCAGGCTGGATTGGATCAAACACCAATTGTGTTTTCAGTCCTTTTGGGCTTCCTTTGCGTCCGGTATGTGTACTCTTGTCTTTTCTCTTCCACACTGTTTGATTATTTGAATGAAAATCAACCTACTGTAGTTTGATTAAAACTATCGACCATTTACCAAGACATATTATGCATAGATGAATATACTTACTTATAGACCGCCAAACTCAAAAGGCTTTGAGGATCACCTGTCTTTTAGCGGGTTCACACTGTGAAGTTTGTTATGATATGATTATGAAGGTTTTGTGTTTTATTAACTTAACTATCTAAGAAGAAATGATAAAAGGCTGATGAGAATTTCTTTTTGTATGTGACTGGTGTAAAGAGAGACGTTTAAATTCTTTGATTCTTTTCAGTGCAGTATTGTTTCAAATGCATTCTTAACATGCGTTGTGATAAACATAAATAGATTGAAGATAGTATATTACAAAAGTGAAACTATTTGGCCACATTTTAGTCTAAATGCGGGCTCGGATACTTGTATGATTTGCATTCCATTTGTCCAACACATTTTGTTCTCGTAAATTTATGGGTAGACCTCTTGGCCTTAGTTTGTAGCATTTGTTGGTGTGTTTTTACCATACTCTGAAGCTCGTGCATGTGTATTTTATGTCTACTTTGTTTGTGCGTACACATAAAATGTGTTTTTACCATAGGACAAGTCTTTTTTTATGGGATTTTACTGGGTTTGTTTGTTGTATTTTATTCACAATTATCTAGTCATACTGAAAATTTTGGGTTGCGCTATTATACGATTGAATATTTATGGAGCTCATTCGTATCGTAATGGTTTATATTGCTTGATGTGACAATGGCAGGGCGCGCAACCGTGTTCCTTCTATCTGCAAAAGGGAGTCTGCAAGTTTGGTCCGAGCTGTAAATTTGATCATCCGATGCAGATTAGAGTATAGTTTGTCCAGTCTTCCTGTCACACCTTCGGTTAACTGGTAATACCCGCTGCGCTTTGGTTCCTATTTCTTTGCCAAAGCTGTGCTTCGATTCGTTTTATTTCGCATATTCAATTTAAGGTAAGTTCAACGCTTAAACTTATTCGACGCTAGCCCGATCCACACCCGAAATGTGCCTGTTTTATGTTTTGGGTTTGTAGAGCTAGAGGAAGACTGCTGTTTTTTCTTTCTTTCTTTCTTTTGGGTCGACTCTGAGGTCTATTTGTGTGTCATGTGCATGAAGTTCCACGAAGTATGCTAAGTATGCTAGATTCTCCCTTCTGGGAACTTGATGTATTTTTTTTGCTAGGAGTAATATTAAAAAGTAGTCATTATTATTGACAATGTTTTAGTTTGGGGCATGTAATGGACTACATCAAAATGACAAATGAAAATTGAGAAGCCCATTGATAAAATAAATAAATAAAGGCAATAAATGGAAACAGCCTCTCTGTCTCTATAGGGGTAAGGCATGTTCTATTTACCTGAATGATTCTGATCTGAATGTAAATATATCTAGAGTTGTCTTTGATTTGATTTGATTTAATTTTTAATATGATCTGATTGCAATAAAAAAAAGTAATACTTCATCCGTCTCGAATTAGATTACAACTTTTTTCTTCTCTCATTAATTTTTTTGCTTATTTGTGTGTTTTCATTGATATTTGATAATATAAATATTCTTAGCACCTCTCGTTTTGTAGAATTTTTGACGAAGTTTTTTTAATCAGGTAAATAATTTGATTTTAATTGCAAGATTTTGTAGAACGGATAAAAAAGAAAGAGGAAATAAATTTAGTAAAAAGATTTAGATTTTGTTGACTCAAATAGTCAAATATGAATTTATGATGAGATCCGTTACACGGTCTGATGTTTCTTGCAGAAGTATTCATTTCATCATGTTGTCAAAGAAATTTTGTATTCAATTAAATTAATGCACCCGTGAGAAATGGTTTTCAGAGTAATTAACACCCAACGAATAATTTGTTTCTTCTTTAATTAGCTTTTTGCAAATACTCCATAGAAAAAAAAACACTTTCAATTCCCACCTCCTATTTAGACTGACAGTAACTCACAAAGACCTTGTTAGGGAATAATATTTTTTTTAGCATTAACGATTTAGATAACATTTTTAATAGTAGAGATTAATTCTTAAAATATAAGCGTTAAAAGCTACCGTCAGATAATTTTTTCAGAATGTTAACCTTAACGTTGATACCAAACAGAGATGAAATCAAATATTTCGTATTGGGACACGGTCGAAAACAAATACATTACCGATTTGTAAACCTTTGAATGATTGGGTTGAAATATCATTTTTTAAAATAATGTTGAATTTTTAGATAAAATTTTAATTGAATAGATTAACTTTAGATGTGGTACTAGTAAATGTTACCCTGAGGTAATATTTTCTAAATGTTAAACACTTAATTCTAAAGCACACACTCAAATGGCTCCTTTACCAATAGGATTTCATTAGTTTTGAAATGAAGATTGTTTTGAAAGTCTTTGTTAAAATTTAATTGTTAATTTTTCATTATGTACTTCCTTCGTCTCAATTTAAATTGCATGTTTTGGTTTATGATGTTTTTAAAATATTTTATATGAAAACTAGTATAGAATTAAAAAATAAAAATTACATATTAAAGTTACATCAAAAGATTTACAAAAAAAAGTGATGGCATGATTATATTATTTAATCAAATAACTAATGAAAATAAGAAAAAAAAAAGAATAAAGTGTGACTCTGTGAATAGTAAACAAATAATTCGAAGAAAATATAAAATTAGAAAATATAATTATTAAATAATAAAGAGTAATAATATACGTGTAATGAAAATACTTTTATAAGTTATAAATTGTATGAATTCATATAATACATTTCGAAAAAGTAAATAAGTTTAAAACCAATTTAAGTCTAATATTGGTGTTCTTTTTTACCCCATCTTTCAAAAGAAGACTTGTCTTTTACTTGCTAGACTTTTTGGCTAGAATTAGCTTTCGAATGTCTATGATCCATCTAAATCTTCATAATGATACACAAAATAAAACAAATGATATAATATGAAGTACCCCACATTTCTACTTTTCTTGTTTAAATTTATCCACAAAGTTTGTCACTTTATCCTTTAGGTCAATATACAAGGACAATGTCACCTTCTATATAAATAAAAAAGAGGAATTTTAATACTATAATACTCTACGTAGTATGAAAGAAAAAAATGTCCATAAAAAATGACAAAATGTTAAGTTAATTTTAAGTAGATTTCTTATTATTAGTGTCAAAACCAACTCAATCAAAAAGTTCAACCTCATACACTTATAATCACAAGAGTCTCACAAGTAGCCAAATAAAAACAATTGATATCCACGTTTAAGGTTCAAACAAAAATCTAAACTTGTCCAACATTTGTTGAGATAAAATTTGTGGTAGAATTTATTTCTTAAGAGTATACTATGTATATTGTTGTAAACCTTAACTCTTTTGGTAAATATTGAAATATGAAAGTAGGATAAAGTCAGGATAATTCTACATGAGTGACCACATGCTTTACACAAACACAAACAATTGCCGTTTGTGTGACCCGTAGACAAAGATTTTTTATGTGATACACAGATAATTATCGTTTCTTCGTGTCTGTGTGTCTTAGAGAGACCAAGTCTTATTCATCCCTAAAGTCTCCAAACTCATCAAAAAAAACAAAAAAGTCAAAGTTGGGAAACCTTTTACCGAAAAGAGAGCAGCAAACAAATGGAGATTCCAAATCTTGACTTTGAGTGCGTAGGGAGACCGCCCGTTTCAAACACAATCATCAAATGTTTCCCCCCATTGCATTCCTTCTTGTCTTTCTCTTCTCTCCCCCACTCTCATCAGAGCAATAATAATAATAATAATAATAGTAATGGGCGTCGTCACCCTTGCAGAGCCGATGAAGCCCCACATTTACGGCAAGCGCTCCTTCCGCCACAGCTCTAGTGTCGGCCGCCACCCCGCCGCCACCGAATGGTACGTATGTATATCTCTTATAATAAACGGAGTCGATTTAGCCAAACGAGGGTGTGGATTTAGCATCACTAATCAACTCATCTTCTTCAGATAGTCTTCTACTATAGTGTTGGAGCAAAAATTTTCGATCCTACTAGCATTTTGTGTCAGTGTGAACCATTAAAGTGACGGTCGAAACTCGTAGAGATGTGATAGTTCGATTTGTTTTGGTTTTAGCAGGCCAATGTCTGATGTTACCAGTGATCTAACAGTAGAAGTGGGAGGTGCATCTTTTGCGCTTCATAAGGTATGTCACATGTGAATCAATTTAGTCAAAAGCTCCGTTCTAAATTCAAAAATTAGTTGATCCTTAAATAAAGAGAAATAAAGAGATTTGGTGTTCAATTACTTGAACTTCTTTGTGCAGTTTCCACTGGTTTCACGGAGTGGAAGGATAAGGAAAATGCTAGCAGATGCGGGCAAGGAACCGAAGATTTCGAGGATGAATCTGTCAGACATCCCGGGCGGGTGCGAGGCCTTCGAGCTGGCCGCGAAGGTCTGCTACGGAGTGCCCGTCGACGTTTCACTGTCAAACGTCGCCGTTCTGAACTCCGTAGCCGTCTTTCTTGAAATGACAGAGGACCTCAGTGAGGGAAACCTCGAAACCAGAACGGAAACCTTCCTCAACGACGTCGTCTTCCCCGACATCTCCAACTCCATCTCCGTCCTCCACCGTTGCGAACCTCTCCTCCCGTTCCCCGACGCCGGAACCGGCCTTGTTGGCCGGCTCGTCACCTCCATCGCGAACAACGTCTGCAAGGAGCAGCTGACGTCCGGGCTGTCGAAGCTCGACGATCACCACCGCACGCTACCATTCCTGCCGCCGAATCCAAACGTCGTCGACGAGGAAACCCTGGCGGATTCCTGGGGGAATGCTCTGGCGGTGTTGGGCGTTGATTTCTTCAAGAGGGTTGTCCTTGCCCTGAGAGGGAAGGGTCTCAATCAAGAGATCATAACTAAAATTATGATAAACTATGCCCGGAACTCTCTCCTCCGAGTCGACGACCCCCGATCCGGTCATACCGCCGATACGGAGGCGGCGGAGAAGAAACAGAGGAAGATTGTTGAGGTCATAACAAACCTCTTACCAAAGATGTCAAGGAAAGGGACGACGACGGTCCCGGTGGCGTTCCTCTCGTCCCTGTTCAAAACCGCCATGGCCGTTTCCGCTTCGGCTTCTTGCCGGTCTGATCTCGAGAGACGCATCGGCCTGCAACTCGACGAAGCCATCCTCGAGGACATCCTCGTACCTTCTTCACCTTCTCCCAATCCAAGCGGAAATAATGATGATAGTGATCACAACAACAACAACAACGATGAGCCTCTTTTTGACACGGACTGCGTGTCGAGGATTTTCTCGTTTTTCCTGAATTTAAACCAGGACGAGGACGAGAAGGACGAGGATGATCTCGTGGGGGACGAAGGGGGAATGGTTTACGACATGGACAGCCCGGGGTCTCCCAAACAGAGCACGATCATTAAGGCGTCCAAACTGATGGACATTTTTCTAGCAGAAGTTGCGCTCGATCCAAACATGGCCCATTCGAAGTTCATAGCCCTCGCAGAGCTTCTTCCCGACCACGCTCGTCCCGCTTCCGACGGACTATACCGAGCCGTCGACATTTTCCTCAAGGTTCATCCCGACATGTCTGATTCAGAGAAGCACAGACTGTGTAAGACAATCGATTGTCAGAAGATGACGCAGGAAGCGTGCAGCCACGCAGCCCAGAACGACCGCCTGCCCGTGCAGATGGCCGTCCAGGTCCTCTACTTCGAGCATATCAGGCTGAGGAACGCGATGGCTGGTAGTGGCGGTGGGGGCGGTTACACCCACCACCACCACAGCTACAAGCACCAGGCGTTCCTCGGCCCGATGCGGTCGGGTAGCGCAGCGGGGAGCGCGTGCATATCCCCGAGGGACAACTACGCGTCGGTGAGGCGGGAGAACAGGGAGCTGAAGCTGGAGGTGGCGAGGATGAGGATGAGACTGACGGACTTGGAGAAGGACCACGTTTCCATGAAGGAGGAGCTCGTGAGGCCGCACCGGGCGGCGGCTAACAACTTCCTCAAATCGTTCACCAAGAAGCTCTGCAAAATCAACAGCCTTTTCCGGGGAAAGGGCGGTGGTTCTTCGGAAGGCCGGTGCCGGTTTCAGAAGCGGAGGCGACACTCGGTGTCTTAGCTAGCTTGTTTGACATATGGTCAAATGCAAATGAATTTTGATGATAATCATATGATCTTTTTCTCTTTTGTTTGTTTACATTAATGAAAAATTTGCTAGATAGTAATTAAGTTTCTCTCGGTAGGACATTCTTTTATAGCACATATTTTCATATGATTTGCACATATTTTTATGGCAATTAAGTTTTTCTAATTATACGAATGACTCTACAAATATAGTCATTAGCAACAAGAAATGATTATTCAAATTATTTTTAATAATGTCTCTATGTACTTGATTTATCTAACAGGTCATTCCTTTGAAAAGAAGAGCATTTTAAGATTTTTTATTTTTAAGGTAAAAGTGATATTTTAAGTCTCGTTGTTTGTGTAAATTACCCTACATTAATCTGTATCTTCCAATAATAATAATAAGAAATATTTGCACTAAATAATACTAAAAATTAAAGTTATTTTTCTAAATAGCACTTAAAATGTTTTATTCCACAAATAGTACTTAATAATGTTCATAATGTCCAATGATGGCGAACATTTACTTGAATAATGACTAATGTATAATGACTAAAAGTATTACATTGGAAAAAAACACGTGATATTATTTAGGAAACTCATTATATTTTAGTGCTATTTAGCTAAATTCCCCTAATAATAATAGAAATATTTGCACTAAATAGCACTAAAACTTAAGTCATTTCCCTAAATAGCACTTAAACTGTTTTATTCTCTAAATAGCACTTATAATGTCCATAATGTCCAGTGATGACGAAATTTTGCTTGAATAATGACTAATGCATAATGACTAAAAGTGCTGCATTGGGAAAAAAACATATGTAGTGCTATTTAGGGAAAATCATTATGTTTTAGTGCTATTTAAGTAAATTTTTATGCATCTTCCAAGTGTATTCCTTCCTAAACTTGAAATCTAGTAGTCGTTCCTTTGATCCCAATTTCGCGGGCCTCACGGTCAAAAATCAGTTAGCTCGCCATCTTAATTAGGCCGAACGTGTATATTTGTCCCATATACCCATCAAACTTTGGAACACTTTTGTAAAATCGATCCAATATACTACGTACCATTTATTCTTTTAATATGTTTTACTCTTTGATTAAGTTTTATTCTTTGAACACTTTTTATTTTTTATTCTTTGAACACTTTTGATTTTTTTTGGTCAAAATTGGTAAACTTTGACCTCAAATTGAATAAAAATTATGTTCTGGTATTAGATATTGATACAAAAATAATTTTATTAGATGTATTAAACCAAATATTTTCAAAATATTATTTTATTTAATTCATATACAATATATATTTTATTTAATAATAGGTCAAAGGTTGAAAATATATAGTTGACCAAAAAAGTCAAAACTGAACAAATACTCAGAAACGGAGGTAGTAATTCTTGTTATATACGTTTTGAATATTTTTTCAACTTTGACATTTTACGTTTTATTAATATTTACATTTTGACCTAAAATTAAATTAAAAGTATATGGTATATTATTTAAGATAAATATACATTTTATTCATAAAATAAATCTAAATAATAAAATTATTTTTGCTGGTGAAATTTTTTCTACTCATTTTTTTTCCTTTTCCTTCTTTTTGCTGGTTGAATATGAACGCTTGTCAGCTTAGGTTTTTGTACATTCACACTATAATTAATTAATTAAGAATACAATAAAGAATAGATATTTATATATTTATTCTGTTAGAACTTATCCAACATCGGAAGTTAAGGAAAAAAAGTAATAAATCAAAATATAAATTTTTAAGTTGAACTTAGTAATCGATTGATTTCAATATTTCAGTGTAGTCTAACTCAAGTAGTGTGTCTCTTTTGTAGAATTTTTTCCTCTTTTTATTTATACACTAAAATGTTTGTATATTTACATATTTATTCTTTTTTCAAACTTTAGTCATTACTCCTCCGTACATAAATTTTCTTGTCACTTTTCTTAATTATCCATCCATAATTTTTTTAATTTTCTTTTTTAACAAGAAGTTTTTCTTTAAATGACATAAATACTCTCGATCACCTTTAATTACCCTACCCATCCCTACACTAATTTCACTTTTTTTCAATTACCAAGAGAAATTTGAAAAGTCAGAATATTTTTAATTTTTCCTTAATTTACGTGTAAAGTCAAAACAAAAAGTTAATTTTAGGACGGAGGAGTATTTGTGAACTTGAGTGAGAAAATTCAAATTAAATAGACGTAATTTTTGGGAGAGAAGTACAAAATAATCGATTTTTTAAGATTTAGAACAAGGAAATTAAAAGTCCATGTTATAAGCCGTTTAATCAAATGTGTTAAGGGTACATAGATTTAATTTTATATAACATTTTCAAAGTTAATTTATATCGTTAAAATTTAATTTAAAACGCTAATAACGCAGATTAAAAATATTATATTCTCAAACAAAGCCATAATTGTGATATTAATTTTAGGGTACATTGGCTTGGATTTACATAGAGCTTAACTACCTCCACCCAATCAAGGGGAGACGAAATCACTTAATTTTATATTTAGGTCTAAAAATTAGGAAATTATATACATACACATATATATATGCATGCATGTACATATTATTAATCAATAACGTAGAATTAATATTTCATAATATATATACTTAGAGCCAAATGGCTCTAGCCTTCTTGAGCAAGGGGACAAGTTCTCCCTTGAGGTGGAGGCACATGATCTCACCTTCGCCCCCGACATATTCGCCGCCGATGAACACCGCCGGCAAACTGGGCGGCTTCCTCCTGCTTGCCCAGGATGCAGCCGCCCAGATGCCCTGCATCAGCTCCCACTCCAGGTTTTTTCCGTTGGGCATCACGTCTAGCTCGTGCACGGTCACGGTCCCCCCGAAACCGGCCACGAGCGTCTCGATGGTGTGGCTCATGCTGCAGCGTGACCCTATGCTGAATATCACGACCGGCTTCCGCTCCGCTAAGCTCTTGACTGTCTCCATTATCACTCTAATCTTGATCTTCTGCTAGTATATATAGAGATTGATTTTGAGTATGGTTAATGGTAATATGAAAGTTGGCTTGGACTGGTTTATAGATAATTGGCCATTTATATATAGCTTAGCTACGAGGAATATGCATGCATTGAATTCCATGATGGGCTGCTTTTTGGAATTTGATTCAATTCAATATTATATTCTACATGTGTGGATAATTTTGGCCTTCTTTGGAGACAATATATCTATTAGCGTTACTATTTTAGATAATATTCTAACATTGTAAATTTATTTTGGAAACGATGTTGTTAGATTTAAATAATCTTCTTAATATACTACTCCTAAGCCCTGAAACTATTGACAAATACGTCGTCTTTTATTATTTGACTTTATAATTTTTCTAAAACAAAAATTAAAAAGAGAAATTTACCTAAATAGGACTAAAACATAATGACTTTTCCAATATAAGATCATATGTTTTTATTTCCCAATGTAGGATCTTTGGTCATTATAAAATAGTCATTATTCAAGTAAATGTCCATCATTACTGGATATTATTCCTCTCACTAGATCATTATTAAGTCCTATTTAGGGAATAAAAAAGTTTAAGTCCTACATTATGAAAGTCATTATGTTTTAGTCCTATTTAGTGCAAATTTCACAACTTTAAAAATAACAAAAATATTTTCTCTTCGCCCCAAATTAAATCGTCTATTTACTATCTATAGGATCAAATTTCATCCTTTTTTCTTTATCCACTATAGTCATTATTCAAGTAAATGTCCACCATCACTAGACATTATTCCTCCCAGTAGACATTATTAAGTACTTCGTACTATTATATTGGAAAATGACTTATATTTTAGTCTTATTTAGTGCAAATTTCACTATTTTTAGAATTTAATTTGTTTATATATAAGAACGAGGAACGAAACGTTGTGAGAGCTAGCCATGCAGGTTCATTTTATTTCAATAGAAAGCGGAAGAAATACAAATTTTATTTTTGAGATAATATTAAAGTGAAATTAATTTTATCTTGGAACGTACCAGAAACAATGAGAAGAATAATAATGGGACGGTACTTTTTAATAGCTAGCGTCATATAATTCCGGCATCCCAATCGGAAAAAAGATTCTGGGCCGCCGAAATGGCAAAGAAAAAGATTGGGAAGAAAGAGATCTAATTCCCATGGTTTTCAACGGCCTGACCGAATCGGAGCATCGGGCCGGTGATGTGGAGGACTTTGTTCGGCGCTATCCGATCCACGTTTCTTTATTTTCTACATTAAAAAAATGTGTGTATTACTTATATACCCTCTGTCCCTGAAAACATTTTTTTTTTCATCCGTTCCAAAAAATACTTCCCATTTCTATTAAAAAATTACTTTTAGTCCTTACTTTTTCATACCCTACATATCACATCATACCTTTTTACTAATAATTTATCCATCAAATCATACTTTTAACCCATTACGTCAAAGGACATTTTTGGAAATTCAATACCAAAATACACTCTCCTTAAAATCAATACTTCCATGTTTTCCAGGACGGAGGGAGTATATTACTATGGGGTAAGCTCGAGGGTCATGGGGTAAGAATTATTTCAAAGGTTCAACCATATTTTATATTAGAAGGAAGTAAAGTAAATAAGTAAATTTTAATAGAAAAAAAATAGGAAAATAACCAAATCGAGGGGTTCGGTTTCCTTCCCCAAACCGTATCCCAATTCATCGTCCAACTAATTGAAAATTGATACAGAAAACATCCGCTCCTCATTTAACACAAACTCGTCTTAAGGGTAGCATAGAGGAGCACACTAGCTTACACATGTGGGATGGGGTTATGTGTTAATCATGTTCTCTCCCAAAATAGATTTGATGTGATCTGATCAAAATAAAAATATGAATGGGTGAGATCGAGTGGGTGTAACTTTTTATCATCACGATTGACTTTATATATGGCCGGCGGGCGGTGGCAATGCATGCATGCATGCATATAATAATAAGGCCATGTTACGCTACCTCATCAATCGGCTGCGTGCGTGCGTGCATGCATCAGCAACACATATTTCCCCAAAGTGAATATTGCATAGCCATATTTCCCCATATAGGGAGGGTTATATACTCAGAGAAATTTACTTAAATAGCACTAATATATAATGACTTTTCCCAAATAGTACCACATGTATTTTTCTTCCTAATGTAGTACTTTTAGTCATTATGCATTAGTCATTATTCAAGTAAATATTTGCAATCACAGGACATTATGGATATTATTAAGTGTTATTTAGGGAAATGACTTAAGTTTTAGTGCTATTTAGTGCAAATATTTCTATATACTTATGTTACTTGTACTCTCTCCCTTACTTTAAACCATTTTTCATTTTGACTTTGGGCTAAAATAGGGAAAATGTAATTTTAGCTAATTTTTCGATTTTGCTCCTGATGTGATTGATAAAAGTAAAGTGTGATAATTTAGTTACTAATGAAATAGTATGATGTGATAGCTAGAGTTTGAAAAAGTAGGAGTAATAGTGATTTTTTTAATAGAAAGTGGAAATGTTTTAGAGAATTAGAAAAAAATGAAAGAGAAATGGTTTTATGGAACGGAGAGAGTATATGGTAAGATTAATTAATCAAGTTTGTTTTTAAAAAAAGTCACTTCAAAAATATTATTTGGCTTTGAAAATTTCATGGCATGTCTGAAAAATGAATTTTGGTTTTGAAAACTAAATTTGGCTCAAATTTTATGCTTGAGAAATTTTTAAAATGTTGGTATAAAATTTTAGTCAAATTCCATTTTTCCTGTTGGACCGTAATCAAATTGGGGACGGAGGGAGTATTATTATGGTGGTGTTTGATTATAAGTCAGCTTCTTATTCCTTTTTATAGTATATGTTATATTTTAGTTAGTTTTCATTTTCTATTTCTAGTTGCGTTGGTAGTCTCCTATATATATATATATATAGGAGACTACATAATTCAATGAGCAACATTATTATTTCAATATTTCAACATTTCCCGTGGCCCAACTATTTTAATAAAAAATTTGGCCAGAACTTTTTTCGAATATTTCTTAATAAAAAAGTTAAAAACTTACTTCATATTTTTTAAAGCTAAGGTAGCTATTATGATATTTAATTATAATATAATCATTTTTTATGTGTAATATCATAATATGAATTGTTTTTTAAAAGAAAATAGTTTATATAATTTAATTTGTTAGATTAAAAGCTAATTTTCGTCTCGTTCAGGAACATCGAATCTTCGAGACTAGGCCTGATAGATGTTTCCCTCTTGTCACTCAAAATTAAAGAATTTAAATTTTGAAATTGCAATAAAATGCTAGTTTCCAAACATATATAGTTTATCAGATTTTAATTAAATTATGTATGGAGAAGTTTTTTCAACAATATTTTTAATATAGTGAAAAAATAAAGATTTTTATAGGACCGACGTGAGGCAGTCTTTGTTCGTGGATATCGTATCATCATCCCCGACCACGCAGCAAAAAAGGAAGATGCGTTCATACCGTACTGCAAGATTATATTCTCTTTGTCCATGGCATCAAACCAATTGCGTGTGAGGGATTTTAATTAACCCAAAAATGTAAAATTCTATTTGATGCGCATAATTAGAATTGAAATTTGTTGGGATTTTAAAAAAAGAAATTAAATTTTATAAAATTAAATCGATTGAAATATAGTGAAGTAAATTTATGAAGTAAATACATTAGTTTTATTGTGTAAAAGAATTTATTCTTCAATTATTACCAGACTATTGATTATTAAAAAAATATTTAGTTTCACTCTGAAAAAACACTTAAAATTGGTATCATTTATAAAAAGATCTTTAAAAAATATATATTTAAATTTCAAGTAAGAAATTAGGGATTTACCTAAAATAATCTCACATTTCATTTATTTGTGAAAAACGAGCATTTTTCAAAAATTACGTTGTGTGGCCGTTAGTTTTTTAACGGGGATCCATGCAAAAAGATGAGATTTTTTCGGTGATAGTGAAAAGTGGAATTTTTTTTAAAGATAGTGAAAAGATTGAAGTAATTGAGACATTTTCTCCTAAACAATAAAGAAAAACAAACAATACAATTTTTTTGAAAGAGCGTTAACTGTCTAACTGACCATTAGCTTTTAACGGCGATCTAAAACTTGTACACATTTGAAAAGGTAGGATTTTTTCCAGAGAATGTGAAAAGTGAAATTATTTTTGGAAAAAACGTGAAAAGATGAAATTATTTGAGATAATTTTTCTTAAAAAATAAAGAATAACAATCAATACAAAAAAGATAAAAAGAAGAAATAATTCCACAGGGTATTATATAGTGGGAGAGCAAAATAGGTCAAAAAAAGTAGAAATAAAAGAAATTGAGATAATTTAAAACAATGTATAGAAAAAGACAAAAACTGAAAAGAAAAAAATATTAAGTTCTAGCAATTCAAAAATGAGGAAATTTCTTTTCAAAAAAAATATGAGAAAATTTAAATAAAAAACTACAGGTTGTAAAAGGTATCAAAAAATAAAAAGAGATTTTTTTAGGAAAAAATAAAAAGATTTTAAAAAGGTTCAAAAGAAAAAATAGAAAACCAAAAGAAAGAGAGAGAGAGAGAGAGAGAGAGAGAGAGAGAGAGAAACAACCGAAAGAAAGAGAGAGACAAAAATAACGAAAGAAAAACAAAAAGAAAAGAAAATAAATTTAAAAAAGTAAGAAATGAGAAAAGGCTGGAAAAGAATAAAAAATAGTTAAAGATTTAAAAACGATCAAAATAAAAAAAAATAGCATATTGAAACAAAAAGAGAATATTAAAACAACGGTTTTAAGAAAGCAAAATGAAGAAAATTAAAAGCAAAGAGAAATAAATGATAAAAAGTAAAAATGAATAAAAAAATAAATAAAGTGTTAAAAGATGATCAAAATAAAAAAACAAGCAAAAGAAAAGAGGATTAAAATAGCGAATAAGAAAAAACAAAAAAAAGAAGAAAAGAGGGGAAGAAGAAAGAAAAGAAGAAAAAACAAAAAAAAAAAGAAGAAAAGAGGGGAAGAAGAAAGAAAAGAAGGGGGAGAAAAAGGAAAAAGAAAAGAATATAAATTTTGAGAGTCAAAGGAGAAGAAAAAGAAGTTATGGGCGTCAATGTGAAAGATAAAATTTCCGATTTTGCAATTTGACCCAAAGTGACATGTTAATCACCTAGTAATGGCGAAATGGTTATTAGCGAAATGATTATAAAAATTCATGTATATTTATAAAAGATTTTGACGTTCAAGTACCAAATCGATTTTTTTGTAAATCTTCAAATACCAATATTAAAATTTATTTCATTACCAAAAAAATTACTTTTTGAAGGGATGTGGTCCTCCATTCTAACTCTTGTCTCAATTCTATATTTCATTATTTAAATCATGACAGATAACTTATATTTACCATTTACTTAACACAAACTTGTCTTGGAATTAGATAAGGGGACATATCACATATGTATATAGATGAAGACCAATTATGTATTTCAATGTCTTAAAAGTTGCTTATACATTTATTTTATCACTTCTCCTTTTAAAAAGGCGTTTGTCAGTTTTACTCCAACTAATGTACAATAGTGATATAGTCACAAAAAAAATATTCACAAATTATACAAATTTATCAAAGGTATAAAATAATTGTCTCAAATAATTAAAAAATAATCCCTCCATCTCTAATTTGATTATAAATTGGGGTTTACGAGGAGAAGTATCACAATTTTTGAAATCATTTTATTTAAAAATCGATATATCGATAAGAAATAAAAATTACATAATAAAAGACTATGTCAAAAGTTCTACAAAATAAGAAGTGACTAGAATATTTAATTTTATCAAATATTTAATGAAATCAAATAAACAAACAAAAATTATCGAGAAGAGAGAAAAAAATTGTAATCAAATTTGAGAGGAGAAGTAGTGTTTTGTTTCTGAAATTACTCAAAATGAATATGAACTGAATGGTACTCCGTACATTTTTATTTCCCGGCCAATGCCCCTCGGGCATAGCTTCACGCCAAAAACCGAGTGCTGTTGTGCATAACCAGGCCAGCAATCTGCCAAATCACGAGTTCTATTTCCGGCAAATCCTGCCGTATTCTCCTCCTCCGTCGTCCTCGTAGACGGGACCACATTTTTTCCCTGCCGATGGCAATGTACGGTCTTCACAACGCCAGCTTTTCTGGCTTCGGTCTGGTCACTCCGTCTCCAGAACCCTTCGGTCATCTGGTTTTGCTCGGAGATTTGATCGCTGATCGGTGGCGGATCAATGGCAAACACTTTTCTCCCACTCCTTAAAAAGTTGTTTGGCTATTCTGGAAAGGGAGATAAGCAGAGTTTGGAGTACGAAGAGCCACTGGAGTCCGTCATCGACGAGCAACGCCGCGAATTCACGGCGGCCGAAACCCTAGAATCCGACCTCCGCTTCGCCTTAGACCTCCAAATGCAAGAAGCCATATCAGCTTCACACTCCGAAACCTCCAAGCCTTCCACCTCTTCTCCTCCTCCTCCTCCGCCGCATTTCGATGTCGACGGCTACGAAGGCTTCGACTACAAGGGCCTCCTTTTGGAGAATCTCGCCCGTTTCGGACAGGATCGGTTCAATCAGTTGCAAAGCGAAACCCTAATTCGGTCAATGAAAGAAGACCTCGACCGTCAAACTCACGATCAGAAGTTCGCTTGCGAGATTATGAATATTCCGGAGGACCAGTGGGCGAAAACTGGAGACCACATTCACAGGCCTTACGGAGATGGAGAGGGTAAGGAGACTGAGAGCCTCAGAATGTATTGTAAGGGTATTGTGAGCGAAGAGAGGATCAAGGACATGAGGGTGTCTGTGGCGTCCATTGGTGTGGCAATTTGTGATTTCCAGGATAATCTCTTGTTTGAGATGAAGAGAGGTTTGGAAAATGGTGAGATGCTCACTAATGAGGGAGCCGAACTTGAGGCTCTGGTAGCCGGGTTAGAGGCGGCTGTGGCTTTGAATTTGGAAAGGGTGAACTTTTTGTGTGATAACTATATGGTATATCAATATGTAAGTTTTGCTTCCTTCTCCAATGAGTTTAGTGTCTTTGAGTGTATTTTATTATGTAATCATGTAGAGAATTTACATGTTGCTGCTGGTTAATTGACAATGTTTGACATTTTGATAACAAATTGTGTTGATCAACAGACAAAATGTTCTTAGTACTTNCCCCCCCCCCCCCCATTAGTCTATGCACCATATGCTTTACTGCTTTAGGTAGCTTACATTGATTTGAGGGTGCAGGTCTCAGGCAGGTTGCTAGCAAATCAGAGCAAGATTGCAACCTTGGTCAACAAGGTGATTGATTTCAAAAAAGGATTCACCTTTTGTGAAGCTACGTACGTCAGTCCGAATGAAATCAAGTTCGCCTTCAAACTTGCAAGAGAGGCCATAATTTCTCAAATTTCATGGTCTGTAGAAACTGGGGCTGGGAAGAGTTTGAAGGAGACTTGTGCCATCTGCTTTGAAGACATTGATGTCACTAGGATGTTTTTGATTGATGGGTGTCTGCATAGATATTGCTTCTCTTGTATGAAACAGCACGTGGAAGCAAAGTTACTTGCTGGGAAGATGGCTGAGTGTCCTCATGAAAGCTGTAAGACTACTATCGACGTTGATAGCTGTGGCGAATTTGTCGATCTTCATTTAGTTGAGATCATCAGCAATCGCATGGAGGAGGCATCTATAGCGGTTACCGACAAAGTTTATTGCCCATATCCCAAATGCTCTCATTTAATGTCGAAAGTTGAGGTTTTAACATGCACCAGTCGTGAATTTGTTGGTACTGAAACATCTCCAGCCAGGAAATGCAGGAAATGTAACCAGTATTTCTGTCTCAAGTGCAACGTCCCGTGGCACTATAATATGACTTGCCGTGCTTACCAAAGTTCTCCAAGACTTCCATCAGGTGAGTCAGTGGTGAAGGCTCTTGCAAATAAGAAAAAGTGGCGCCAATGTGTGAAGTGCAACAACATGGTCGAACTTGCTTCTGGCTGTTATCACATCTATTGCAGGTTTTTTCTCTTACCCTTCACCTGGTAGTAAGAATATGAACTTTGTCTGGTTTTTACTTCTGAAGCTTTATATATTCTTTACTTTTGTTGTTCTAATGTCTGCATGCAACACTCTTCTTTGCGGAGATGATTGATCATTCATTTATGAGTCATGATGTTTTCTATTTCTTGATTCTGTGGCAGGGCTTAACCAATGTAGAAGCCCTTCACACATTTGTTGTCTTCTGTTTCTCGCTCATTTTTTCTAGCTTTTAACTTTTTGGCGTACTTCGCGTCCCAAGAAGACTTTCATGTTGCGGGTTACGATGTTTTGGTGAAGTTCTTTACATTAGTGTAAAATTTAAAAATATACGGAGTAATGTATATATTTAAAAACTAATCAAAAGTTTTACAGAACAATACAGAGTATTTGACAAGATTATACTTCCTCTGTCCCACCAAATTCTTTACGCTTTGGATTGCGATGTTTGATTGATTTTTTTAAGTTCTATTTATTTCTAATTTGTGTAGAAAACAATTTATACTCCGTATATTTAAAAATAAACAAATAAAACTACAAACCAATAGTTAACGTGATCAATGAAACATTGAAAATAGGTGTAGAGATAAAATTTAAGTTGGCCCTGAAATAGCAAGTGTAAAGAATTCTATGGGACAGAGGGAGTATTATTTTATCAAATGAGTAATGAAAATACGTAAAGAAAGAGGTTCAATTTTGATCATGTGAATAGTGAGCAAAAAAATCTTTTTGAGACGGAGACTCACGGAGTGAGAGTATAAGAGCATCTCCAAAGGGAGATCTATTTTTTTTATCTTCTATTTGCCTTTTTTGCTTTCCAACAGTGTTTTAGCAACTCACTTTTTTACACTCACTCCAACCATCTCATCTATATTTTAACTTTTTATAATAAATTAATATTTTTAAATTATATCCATTTTCTGAATACGCTAATTGAAGACAGTTAGGGGTAGAATCGCCTCTGCTCTGTTCTGCCCGACTGAAACAACTGATGTCACTGCTTGGATCTCACTTTGATTGAGATGGGATCTCTTTTTTTCAATGAAGAGCAGAAACATAAAAGTAGAAATACATGAAGATGGAAGGAATAGAGTCCGATGAAAGAGCAAACACAGTTGAAGATATAGGATTGGGGAACTAAAAATGCTGAAAAGTGAATATAGAAGATCTACCAGAACCTTTTATTTTTTTTAAAAGCTCAAACACCAATTATAGAAGGCGTTCTGTTTTCTGAAAGCCCCGATGGAGCAAGAAAATTGCTACAGTATGGTTTTTAAAGTCTATTTTTTAGCATTTGCAGGTTCCGTTGGAGATTCTCTAAGTCTCCCAAAAGTGTAAAGTAATAAGACTGTAATATCTTTACCCCCACCCCCACTCGGCCACTCCCACCCACCCCCAAATTTAAACTCTAAGGATCCATTTGGCTTGGTTTCTTTTGGCTAACTCTGTAGATTCTGATCCCAGAAATCTCAAAAAAGAAGAAGAAACAAAGCCAAATGACTCCTAGACCTTTGAAAAATATACGAGTAGTTGCCATCGCTCCTGAATTTCGTCATAAAACTTCTAATATGGCTTTTTGTATTGCATTGCTTTCACAGATGTGGATATGAATTCTGCTATACTTGTGGGGCTGAATGGAAGAACAAGAAAGCAACGTGCAAATGCGTACTATGGGATGAGCATAATATCGTTCGCAAGCGTTAAAGAAGATGGGTTAAGCAATTACCAGGTGATTTTTGGCTTACTAGGTTGTCTGACGTTATTATTGTGCCACTTTTCTTAGTTTTTGTAACTACTATCATATTTGATCACCAACTGTTATGCTGGCAGTTCTTAAAAAATGTATCATCACATTACACTATTGTAGTGGTGAAGTCATACTTACTAAGGGCTTATTTGCTTAATTCAGTGATTTGAAACGCGACTATCGTTTTCTAGTACATATTTCAAATGTTTTGTTTGTTCGAGTATAAAATTAGTACTCCCTCTCTCAATTTATTTTCTCATTTGAAAAATGTGTATAATTCCACCTTTCAGAATAATTTTAATTTATAAATTTGTATAAAAATAAATAACATAGCACAAATTATATCGTTTTAAATTACATCAAAAGTTCTTCAAAAAAAGATGCTACAATAATAATTTATTTTATCAAATGATCAATAAAAACGTGCATATAACTGAGAAGATTAATTTGGAAAGGGGAGTATAAACTATTTGTGGATAGTATGATTACCTTTTTTTGTTGGGCTCTTGGTCGTTTATTTGATTGGATATGCTTGTCTCGTTTATTTGTTTAGTTTGATTATTTCTATATTAATATACGGAGTAGTATAAAAAAATTTACTTTAATTATAGTAGATCAGGTTGTTAATTTGAGTTGACCAACTCGATCGATTAATCCTTGACACCCTCGCTTGTTAGGGTAATATAATGTTCAGTTAGTTTATCAGAACATCATAAAAGAGATCTATACATGGGATATTCGTGTAAGAATTACTTGAATATCTAAAATTTAATTATACCCAATTTGCAATAGAATGATTTTGAAGTAATGCAAAAGAACAAAGTATTTTAAGAGCATGAATGATGACGAGTAAAAAATGAAATGTCATACATTGACGTGACATACTTCAACCAATCAAAAGTAATTTAGTCAATGTATGTCAAGTGAGTAGAGTGATATGTTATGCAGTGGTAAGTTATAATTTTTTTTTCACTTTTGACATTTATTTAATGTACTTTTACTATTAAAAATTACTTTGTTAATTTTATTAATATAAATGTACTTTTTTAAAAAATCATCTTTCTTCTATAAAAAACGGAAAATGCTAGGGTGCCACCACATGGGTGCTACTATGGGTGCACCCATGCTTCGCACAGACAAACACAGACGATAATTGTCTATGTCGCACAGACAATTATCGTCTGTGTTTGTCACTCCGTATAAAGGAATAAGTGCCTTGCGCCAGCCATGCTTGTCATGGAGGAACACAAGTGACGCGAGACAAGTGATTTTGGGTTGAGGTAAGTTACTTGTATCTTGGATTTTAAGGAAATTTGATGAGTGTTACCTGAATTTTAGTTGGAATTTCGTAGTGGTACCTAAATTTCAAATTATTTCACAAAAATCCCTGAACTTACACAATCCTTTCACTAAAAGTCCATTTGTCCGTTTCTAGATTAACTTCTGGTCATTTGGGCCAAATTAGAATGTTATATATTTTAAAATTTTTAATTTTACCCCATTTCTTTTTTTTCTTTTCTTCCGCTCTCCGCCGCCGTCGCACCACGTCAAAGTCGCCGGAAAATCAACCTGGTCAGATTCTGGCGAGACCAACGCCGTTTTCTTCGTCTTGAGATGAGGATAAGGAATATCCAAATCATTCTGTCCAATTTAGCCTGCAACTCCTCGAATTTGAATTTTTCCACTCGAAAAAACCCTAAAATACGAGTTGGAGCGTTTTCCGGCCTTTTCCGGCGGGTTAGAGCGTTTTCCGGCCACTTCCGGCAAAATTGACTTCGCTCATCCCCTCCAAAGTCTTCGTGGCATCTCGGCGACCCCCAAGGACCCCTCAATTGCAAGATTTGATGGCGATTTGCAAAAACCCCCCAATTTCGGATTTTAGGATTTTTTCGAGCAGAAAAATTCGAATTCAAGGAGTTGCAGGCCAAATTGGACAAAATGATATGGATATTCTTGATCCTCATCTCAAGACGAAGAGAACGGCGTTGGTCCCGCCGGAATCTGACCAGGTTGATTTTCTAGCGACTTTGACATTGTGCAACGGCGGCGGGGAGCAGAAGAAAAGAAAAAAAGAAATGGGGTCAAATTGAAAATTTTAAAATATATAAAATTCTAATTTGGCCCAAATGACCAGACGTTAACCCAGAAATGGACAAATGGACTTTTAGTGAAAGGATTGTGTAAGTTCAGGGATTTTTGTGAAATGATTTGAAGTTTAGGTACTATTTCGAAATTTCAGCTAAAGTTCAGGTACCACTTGTGAAATTTATCCCTTGGATTTTCTAAAAGTATGAGGTTGTTTCTCTGTACTGGTGATTATTAATTTATTGTTGATAAAAAAAGTAACTTATAAATTGCTTATACGTTAAATATTTTTCGTGAAAGTAAAATAATTTATATGATGGATATTTCATTTGGGAATATTTACAAAAGGTAAGAAACAATTTTGTAAATAACTTTGAAATTAAAAAAACCAAACTAAAAATAAGTTGGTAAGATGTAATTTTTTTAACGTATAAGTCAGCTATTAAACATAGAAAACACGTCATCATATAATTTATAAGTTAAAAATTACTCGGTATATATAAGTAATTTTGACCAGCTTATAAGAATAGAAGAACACCTATTATGTTGGTTCAAGAAAAATAATTAAAAGGTAAAATTACTCAGATGGGAGAAAATCAAAATCATTCATTTTGGTGAGAAAAATAACTAAAAGTCATTTTTATTTTTTCTCGTCTAAATTTCTTGAACCAAACACAATACCACGTATTTGAATTGTTTATAAATTATAAGTTTAACTCTTTAAAGGGAAATTCACAACTATATTCTCGTTTTGATCAATTTTACAAAATACTTATCATTTTCCTAATTAAATTATTTTAGTCATTTTGACTACCATGAGAAAATATATTTTTTAGTTATAATTTGAAGTTTTTGAGTAACAATTCTAACAAAGCTCGTGATATTTTTGTTGGAAAAATGTGGAAAGGTGGTGTTTCCCAGTGTCCTTCACCTTCATACAAATACATACAAACATTAACTGTTTGTATTTATAGTGTTTCTATGTTTGTGAGTAGGTGATGTACATGTGACTACATGTACACCTCACAAATTTCATTTCTGTATTCCCTAGGGATATGGAATTATGTATAGAAAGTTTTGGACATCTACATAGGATTAAGTTGTACACTAAAACTTAGTCCCTCCATCCGGGAATTAACTTCCCACTTTGACTATTCCTTATTTTTAGTGGGGGTTGATTTTGACATTAAAATGTCTAAAATACCCTGCTATCTTTTTGTTATGCCCCAACACTATTCTACCCACTGCCAGTCCACCGCCGCCCCAGTCCATCGCCACCGCAGCCCTAGCCATATCCGCCGCTCCACCATACACTCTAACACTCCTGCCCCAGCCCCCACCACAATAAATAAAGAAAATAAAGAAAAACCTGAGGGAGGCGGAAAGAAGAAGAAGAAAAACCCACAGATCTACAGATCTACCTCCCACCGCCGCCGTCTGCTCTACTATTACCGTCAGCCGCACTGATGTAACACAAATCTAGAAGAAGAAGAAGAAGAAGAAGAAGAAAAAAGGGGGAGAAAGGCATAGATTTGAGGGAGGAGGAAAGAAAAAGAACAAAGTTGAGGATGAGAAATAAGAAGACGAAGAGAAAGGGGGGAAGAGAGAGAGAAAATAAAAGGGAGTGGAAGAAGAAACGAAGAAGAAGGAGAAGAACAAAACCAGAAGAAGAGAAAAGAGAAAGAAGGGGAGGGGGAAGAGAGAGAGAGGATAAGGGGGAGGGGGGACGACCAGTAGAGAAAGAAAACAAGGGTCAGGCGAGTGGAAGAAAAGGAGGATAAAAAGAAGGGTATTTTAGGAAGAATAGAGATTAAAACGTAGAGTGGGAAGATTATTTCCGGACGAAAAAAAACATAGAGTGGGAAGATTATTTCCGGACGGAGGGAGTATACTCCTTTCGTCTCAAATTATTTGCCACATTTGTATTCTCGAGGCAAAATATCAAGTTTTTTCAATTCATTTTATTTACATATTGATATAAAAATAAAAAATAAAATTTACATATAAAAAAACTACATGAAAAGTTCTTTGAAATAAAAGGTGTCAAGAATATTTCATTTTATCAAATAACAAATGAAAACATCGAAATAAACAAAAGTTTCCGGGACTGCTGAAAAAGCAAATGTTGTGAATATTTAGGGACGAAGAGAGTATCATATTTTGTACTTTAATGACGTACACCTACAATTTGTAATATTGTGATGATTTACCTTGACTAAAAATGTAAATGCAATTTTTTAAAATGAATTAGACTTTTGTATCTTTCTCAACCATTGAAATATGAATTAGAAAATGCTAGGGTACATCAAAAACCAAAAGTATACTCCAAAATAATATAAACAGTAAAATGGGGTGGTATATGGGTTACTCTAACATATCGCATGTGGATTTTGTTGTACCTTGACGGCGCCCGCGCTTCAATGGTAAACAGTTTTGGCCCAGAACCCCAGAAAAAGTTGTTTTGGCTGGCTATTCAGCCTGTAATTTCTAAATAAAACGCCAGACATGGAAAGTGAGAAGAAGAGATGAAGAGTATGGAGTACGAAGGGCTACTGGACTCCCTTATTGACGAGCAACGCCGCGAGTTCATGGCGGCCATAACCCTAGAATCCGACCTCCGATTCGCCTTCAACCTCCAAATGCAAGAAGCCATCACAGCCTCACTCTCCGAAACCTCCGAACCTTCCACCTCCACTTCTCCCCCTCCGCCGCCGCATTTCGACGGAGACGGCTGCGAAGGCTTCGACTACACGACCCTCCTCTTGGAGGATCTCGCCCGTTTCGACCAGGAGCGCCGCGATCAGTTGCAAAGCGAAACCCTAATTCGGTCGATGAAACAAGACCTCGACCGCCGAGCACACGATCACAAGTTCGCTCGCGAGATTATGAGTATCCCGGAGGACCAGTGGGCGGAAACCGGAGACGACATTCATAGGCCTTACGGAGATGGAGTGGGTAACCAGACTGAGATTGTCAGAATGTATTGTAAGGGTATTGTGAGCGAAGAGATGATTAAGGACATGAGGGTGGCTGTGGCGTCCATTGGTGTGGCAATTTGTGATTTTCAGGATAATATCTTGTTTGAGATGAAGAGAGGTCTGGAAAATGGTGGGATGCTCACTAATGAGGGAGCAGAGCTTGAGGCTCTGGTGGCCGGTCTGGAAGCGGCTGTGGCTTTGAATTTGGAAAGGGTGAACTTTTTTTGTGATAACTATATGGTATATCAACACGTAAGTTTTTCTTCCTTCTCCAGCGAGTTTAGTGTCTTTGAATATTTGATAACAAATTGTGTTGATCCATAGACATAAACTACTACTGCAGAGCATATCTAAATCATGCATTATTGTAACAGAGCCCAAACATTTTTGACTGTCTGGTTTTGTTCTTAGTATTTGAAATTGCATTTTGGTTCTAGATAATTTGCATCATATGATTTAGGTAGCTTGAATTGGTTTGTGGATGCAGGTCTCAGGCAGGTCGCAAGCAAATCAGAGCAAGATTGCAACCTTGGTCAATAAGGTGATTGATTTCAAAAAAAGGTTCAGCTTTTGCGAACCATCATATGTGGGTCGGAATGAAATCAAGTTCGCCTTCAAACTTGCAAGAGAGGCCATTATTTCACAAGTTGCATGGTCTGTAGAAACCAAGGCCGGGAAGAGTTTGAAGGAGACTTGTGCCATCTGTTTTGAAGACATTAATGTCACTAAGATGTTTTTGATTGATGGCTGTCTGCATAGGTTCTGCTTCTCGTGTATGAAACAGCACGTGGAAGCAAAGTTACTTGTTGGAAAGATGGCTGAGTGTCCTCATGATGGCTGTAAGACAAATATCGAGGTTGATAACTGTGCAAATTTTCTAGATCCTCGTTTAGTTGAGATTATCAGCAATCGCATGAAGGAGGCGTCTATAGCTGTTACTGACAAAGTTTATTGCCCCTATCCCAGATGTTCTGCATTAATGTCGAAAGTTAAGGTTTTAGAATATACCAAAAATGAATTTTTTGGTGCTGAAACATCTGGAGCCAGGAAATGCATGAAATGCAACAAGTATTTCTGTCTCAATTGCCAGGTCCCATGGCACTATGATATGACTTGCCTTGTTTACAAAAGGACCCCAAGACCTCAATCCGACGAGTCAGCGGTCAAGGCTCTTGCCAATAAGAGAAAGTGGCGCCAATGTGTGAAGTGCAACCACATGGTTGAACTTTCTTCTGGTTGTTACCACATCTCTTGCAGGTTTTTACTCTCACCCTTTACCTGGTAGTAAGAGTATGAACTTTGTCTGGTTTTATTTCTAAAGTTTTTGTTTTCTTTTCTTTTGCTGTTCTAATGCCTGCCTGCAACACCCTTCTTTGTGGAAATGATTGAACATTCATTTATGAGACATAATACTTTTTATTTCTTGATTCTGTGGCAGGGCTTAACCTGTGTAGAAACCCTTCAACTATTCGTTTTCTTGTGTTTCTGGCTCATCTTTTCAATCTTTTATTCCACAGATGTGGATATGAATTCTGTTATACTTGTGGAGCTGAATGGAAGAACAAGAGAGCAACGTGCAATTGTGCGCTATGGGATGAACGGAACCTCATTCGGCCGAGGTAGAGAAGACGGGCTAAGAAATTACCAGGTTGCTTTATGCTCACTAGGATTTTTGACATTATTGTTGTGCCACTTTTCTTAGGTTTTGTAATCAGTACCATGTATTCTCATCAACTCTTATGATGGCCGTTCTTACAAAATGAATGATCACGAGATCTCTGAAAACCATATCTCTGTGTGAGTTCATTGCATATCTAGTTGTCTATAAATCAGAAACATCATGAAAAATAAATATGGAAATAGTTTGTACTAATTTTTGAATTGAAATATGTGGAGTTACATGCATCTTCGATTATCTTAATTCATTTTCCTTTATTAAGCATTATTAATAATGTAGATTATCATCGTTTTTTCTCTTATAGTCTTTTAGATACTTAAATTACAATAATTGAAGATGCGAAAGAACGAAGTCTTTTTTAACGCATCTGTTATATACTCCGCAAGTATTTTTTTGATAATCTACATTATTAATAATGCTCAATAAAGGAAAAAAGCTTTATTAAGATATGTGAACACTACACATGCTTAATATATTTACCACCGATTTTTTTTTTTAATTTACACAGACAACTCTTATCAATTTTCTAAAGTTGTAAAACCATGTAGTTCAAAATTGTTTATAGAGTATGTAACTCTAAAGTCTAAAGAACATATAACATCACTTTTTTTTTGGACCATGCTACACTTACACCAACAAATATACCCCATTTGTACACAACAGGTTTGCACAAACATTTCGATGGTTTACACCGACACAAGTGTTGGTGCGTTAATAAAAATTCACACGGACACAAATGTTGGTGCGTTTAACAAAAATTAGTTTTACACCAACACAAAATGTTTGTGCAAAACTGCGGGGTACAAATCTTGGGGTACACATAGCATAATCCTTTTTTTATGTTGAAGTACCCTTTATGTATCACAATGTAATACTGTTGATACATAATTTCTCACTTATTAAAACATTGAAAATCAATGTTTCTAATGAAGTTCAAACTTGAGATCTCCCATTAATGGGAGAACCACAATTATGCACAAAAGTTGTAAGTGCATTATACAAATATGGAGTATCATTTTTCTAAGATATATAGCAAATAGAAAATTTGATGAATAATACAGTGGAGTGACATTTTTGTCTCTGCACTTTGAAATAAAAAGCCTCTTAATAATACAAAGTGAAATAATTGATGTCTATAGTTCTCATTACTCTTTATTATTATTATTATTATTATTATTATTATTATTATTATTATTATTATTATTATTATTATTATTATTATTATTATTATTATAGCTAATAAATAATGTACTTTAAGCTTAAGCTTAGTCAAGTAATAATGATAACAATACAAAATGAAATGGGCATTGGAACTCCATAGCCTCCTCCCTCCCTCCAAGTCTCCAACCCACATTCTTCAGGGGCATGAACCAAACTCTTCCCTGCCCGACCTGCCCTTCCCTGCCCGGCACCCCCCTAATGTTCTTCAACCGCAGAACCCTCGTTTTCATCGACTTTGCATATGCAGAAGAAGGGATCCGTGTAAATGTAGTTTGACACCATGTGTTTCATAGACATGCACGGGCAATGATTATCTGTGCAGCTCAGATAATGACTGTCTGTACACGCCTGTAAAACACATGGAGTCAAACTTAAGTCTCAAACTTGGTGTGACTGTAGCATAGTCAAACCTCAAGGATGCATCTTCCAGACAAAAGAGGGCATGTCCGGCCTCGGGCCAGCAACCGAACGGTATATGTATAGTTTCTCAACCGGTTCGTCCTCGGTTCTTTTATGGTTCAGCACGCCTCTCTCGTCTATGACCTCGACGTTAAGCCAGGGCATCTTTTTTCCTAAAAGCTTACATGCTCCGAAAGTTACCGGGCAAGAAGACATCCAAAGGGATCGCATTGTCTCCAGCTTCGCAGCATTGGCCAGGAGTGCCTTATCTCCAAAGGGACAGTCCCTAATCTCCAGCTTCCGCAGGCTGTCACACCCAGACAACACATAGTGGAGGCCGAGGTCATTTTCGCCCGCAAAAGCTATAGAGAGCATCTCTAGTTTCTTCGCGTGGGTCCCGATGGCCTTGAACACGCGGTTAGTGAGCAGCCCAGACAGGGAAAGCCTTCTCAGCTCTTTGCAGTGTTCTACGATGGCTCCGAAACCGAAGTCGAGCGGTTCTAGGGTGAGGTAATCGGGGGCTCGCGGCTCGATGATGCAGAGCCGGAACCGGATCAGGTTCGGGCGGTTCCGGGCAATGGTAGCGAGTGCGTTGTTTGTCATTTGTCTGCAGAAGTATAGTACTGACTGCAGCTTGGGGCAGCCCGCCGAGATGGCCACAAGGCCCTCCTCTGTCAGGATCACGTCTGGTTCCACTACGAAAGGGTCGGAAGGGAAAACCCTAAGCTCTTGAAGATTCTTACATGATGCAGCAACAGTTTGTAAGCCATGATCTTCAATGAAATCCAGAACCTGCAGTTTGAAATCTTTGTCAGCAGTGATTTGAATCTGTGACAAAGTCTGAAATCTTTGTCAGCATTTTCTTTCAAATTTTACCCTATGTTTCCTTCATTCTTGAAATTCTTTCCTGGCATATATCAGTTTCCAAACAGAAAATGATATTCCAATGTTCAGAATAAGAGGCATTATATACTGCATTCCTAATATTTCCTCTCATGGCTAGTGGCTACTTCGAATCAATACAGTAGAAATCAAGGAACACGAAAAAACATACCCATAGCTTCTGCAAGTTGTGACACTGGCTTACAAACTTTACAAGGTCCGGGCTCTGAACAGTGGCATAGCTCAAATTCAAAGAGGTAATTCCATGGCAGGCCGAATACATGGTTGGAATGAAAGCGGGGGACACATCCCAGAACCCAGAGATACCCTTAAGTTGCTTGCAGCCAGAGAAGGCGTTTGCCAGGTTGGAAAAGGCCTCCGAATGGACCTCCCCAGAGAAGGCACCTGTCCCCAACTCAACCAACTGGGGAGCACGGCGAAGAAGGTTTGGAAGATTCTCTAGGGGGAAATTACGGTTGAGGCGAAGACTTCTCAGGTTGGGGCAACGAGAAACCAGACGCTCCAAAGCAGAGAGGCTCACCTCACAGCCCAGGCAAGTTATGTCAAGAGACACCAGTGAGGTTGAGTTGTCTGGAAACTGGTTAAGCCATTGCCCACTCAGGTCATCTATTTCGCACTCTCGCAGGCTTAGTTCCTTCAGATTCCTGCATTGTTACACCATTAAAAAGAATGAACCGGAGTTCATCTGCTTTAACTTAACAACGAATAATACTCCATCCATTCTCAGGCAACGGATGGGGACTCTCTTGATATCCTAAGAAATGAATGAACATAGACATACTATATGTCCACATTCATTCGATTTTTAGTGTATTTAGGAAGTCGTAATAGAACCGAAGGAGTATTTCAAAAGGGAGGAGGCAAGGAATCAAATAAAAACTCCCCAAGGAGCTTCCTTATACACACGAAAAGCCCTACGTTTATATGCAAGTATAGATAGAAGAACACCATACAGCAACTCCTCCTGTCTGAGAAGTGAACAACAAAAGAAATGAAATCAATTGCAAGGTTTTCATTTAACTAAAAATCAAGAACCAAAATTACTACCCAAATCTCCATTCAAAATGCACCAGTAGTTGATTTGCTCAAACAAACTACGGGTTGCAATCAGTTAAGAATTCCCAAAAAAAACAAGCTTTTAATAATGGGGGGAAAATGCAAATAAGATTAATAAAGAACAAAACTTTGGAGTCTCTAGATCTAAAATCATGGGTCAACTTTTTGTTTTATTTTACTGCAATCATCAGGAGATGGTTTTCTTTGAGTTGGCAATAGTCTTTAAATAGAAAGAATGAGGTAAGAAGTAGCTAAAATCCAAGAAACTGACTGGGGATAATAATAAGCTGAAAACCAGACCTGCAATTAGCAGCAATGGCAGAGAGGCCATCAGAAGTGAATCCCTCGCAAATGGCCAAGACGAGGATTTTGAAGTTCTTGAAGGACTTGGAAATCAATTGCAGGGAGTCGTCTGTGACGACCATGCGCTTGAGGCGAATCTCCTCGATCCAGGGGTAAGCCCGGGACATGGCGGCGACCCAGGGGAAGACAGATCCGCCCCAGCCGTCGGGGACCAGATTGAAGTCTGCGAAATGGGGCTTCCCCTTGAGCTCCACCGACCGGACCTCCGGGAAGCGGCGAATCACGATGGCGGGGCTGACGGCGTAGCAGTTGCCGACGAAGATCCTCCTCCGGCACCACCTCTCGATCTCGTACCAGGACTTGCAGACCAGGGAAACGGAGTTGCGGTCCTTGTCGGAGCTCAGGAAGAAGAACACGTGCTCCAACACTTCCTCCGGAAACGAGTACGCCATTGTTCTTTGTTCTTGGTCCTTGGTCCTTTTTAAATAATAATAATATTAATAATTCACTCTGTTTCCACGGGGAAGAGAAAGGGGATTCAGATCTGAGGGGACATTAAGAAGCTTAGATTTACTGGACAGAGAGAGAGAGAGAAGGTGCGGAGAAGATAAGGGGGAGGAGGGTACGGTGTTTTTATATAATTGGGCAAGAAAACGCCTCCGTTTATGGGGACGACTGATGGGTAGTACACAGTACAGAGAGTGGTTTTCGGGTCAAAAAGGCAGTGGTGTTTCTACTTTTCTAATGTAAAAAACCGCACCACATTTCGACGGCAACTGTAACAGAGAGATTGGTGTTGTAACTTGCAAGTAAATCCGTGTTCTACGTTAAAACTACTGCCATTAACGGCACTTTTGGCTTTTCAAGCGTTTTGCATTCCTCATTTGGAATAAAAGATTATCCTCAAGGGAATATGATTATGTGGTCCCAAAATATTTATATCATCTTCAAGAAATTCTAATGATTCACATTTTACTTGTTAACATTTTTCTTAATCCTTATTGTTAAAATTTTCGGTGGCCTGAAACAACGGACAGAGTATCGGATAATATTATCCACTTACATATAAAGTCGGAATCCACATTTCTAACCCAACAGCTAAAACTGATAGGTGGGACTTTACTTTTTTATATATGTTAATAATATTTTTCTTTATTTTCTAATGTGGGAACACCACATCTCTGAAATCAATCTGAGAAAACTAAGTTGAAACAAGTGTGGAATGATGGGAGTGTAGTATCAGAATTGTAGCATTTTTTGAGAATTGAGTGATAATACATTTTTTCTTCAACTTGCAAATCTTATT